AAGGCAGGATGGCTATGCAGGTGTAGATTACATATGAGACAGATTACAACTGCTTTGTCAATTAACAGCACTAATGTGATAAAAACCCATTTATTTTACTTATTATTTATTAAACTGACAGAGTCCCCTGTCTACTAGAAGGAACTCTGGGCAGTGAATAAAATAGAAACACTTTACACTAAAAAGACCATTTAAATCAATAAACAATGTTGAGACCCCAATAAAACTCACATTCACCCACCGGTCACCCCATGCCAGCTCCATCAACATTCTGGCCTCAGTGCCTGGGGAAAAGCCAGGTCTTCACCACTTTCCTGAAGATCAACAGGGTCAGGGCCATCACTATTTCTGAGGAGAAGCTATTCCATAAGGCAGACACCATGACAGAGAAGGTACGCTTCTGGGGCCCTACTGGGTGATGCTGTTTCACTGAGGGACCCAGAGCATCACTACCCTGCCAGATATAGTAAGATGGGCAAAACCATCAGGGATAGGCAGTCCCCCAACTAACCTGGCCTCATGCCATTCTTTTTAATTTATTTTTTATTATTGAGGAAACAAAAAAACAATAGAAAGTGCTTTAACAAAAAAGTGAAGAAATACAACAAAGAAAAAGATGTTAATATATCATTATAACAGTAAACAATTACAATTCTATATATACTTACCTAATGCAAATATTATTCAAGTATGTATTTATTTCTAATACGTTTATATGACTATCTTTTTTAAACCTACTGCATTTTGTATAAATGAGTCCCATATTTCATTATATTTGTCCATACAAAGTCTATATCTATAAGCAATCCGTTCGTAAGTCTTCAGTCCACTGAATAAATGGGGCCATGCACACCTTGGCCCCATGCCATTTAAGGTGGCAACCAGCATCATAAATGGCACCTAGAAGCCTACTCATGCAGCAGTAGTGTTACCTGGCATACCATGATGTGCTCACTACTGCCAGTGGTGCTGTATTCTGGACCAGCTGCAGTGTAATCGTATGTGGGCATGACCTTAGGAGACAGGAGGAAGAGCTGCGGCTGAGAAGATGGTCCGATAAACTAAATCTGAGTCTGAAGGAAGGGTGGGGCTGGAGAAAGCGTCTCAGAAGGGATCCTCCCTAGTTTTGGGGAGAGTAAACATAAGGGAAGGGAGAGGTACTTTCAGACTTGCAAGATTCTGTCATTGTAACCTTACAATAAAGGTAGCATTAGTACTCATGATTGGTGCTTCTTGTCTGGGCTACCTCAAAGGGCTGACATGAAGCTTCTGAATGCTATTCAAAAGCAGTCCCATGTAGATAATCCTATTGGGAGGTGAGTAAAGCATGAGTGACCATCAGCAGTGCCTCCCAATCTAGGAAAGGATGCAATTGGCACCCAAGATGCATGTGTGCAAACGCCACCCTCCCCATGGCTGCCACTTGCTCATTGACCCCCCAGATTGTGCACCAGCTCTGACTGGGGTAGTGTCACCTCAGCCAAAGTTAAATATGGCAAATCACTAGATATAGGGTGACCCTAAAACCCACAGTCACTCAGTCTTGTCAGGGTTGAGCTGAAGCCAATCTTTCCCATCCAGGGCACTGGGAAAGCACTTTGATGGTGTCACTTGCTCAGATCAGCAAAGATACAGCTGAGTATCATCAGTATACTGATAATATTTAACCCCGGACTGACTGATGGCCTCACCCAGAGGTTTCATGTAGATGTTAAATAGAGTTGAGCTCTGCAGCACCCCACAAAGCAGAGCCCTCAGGCTCAACTTCTCCCCCGCCCCCCCTTCCCCAACACTGATTAGAACTGGCTTTTGATGAAGGAGGAGAACCACTGAAAAGGAGTGCCTTCCACTTCCAACTTCCTCAACTGGCTGAGAAGACCATGATTGAAGGTATAAAAAACCACTGAGAAATCAACCAGGGCTAGGATGGATACACCATTCCTACACATCCTGGGGCCACCAGAGGTCATCTATAAGCATGATCAATGCCTTCTTGGTACTATATTTCCAGGAATAATATAGCTCCTGTCCTTCAAGGTTTATTAAATAAAAAATTGTAGTATATGACGATGACGATGGTGATGATGATGATGATGTAAGGGGGCACCAGCTCCTTGGAGACAGCTGTGAAAACATGGCAGCCACCCTTTTCTGCATATGCAAAAACATGGGAACCATGCTTTTGTGCATGTGCAGAATAGTAGCTGCCATTACCCACACTGGCAAATAAACCTGCAGTGCACAGAATTTTGGTTTTCTGGACTGAAATGATGTGACACCCAAATCTTCTATAGGAGCCCTAACTTACTGGAAGACCCACCATTAATATGGTGAAGATCCTAGGTGAAATGCCTGATATTGGCAGAGGGCAGAGTGACAAGTCCTAAAGCTGAAGAGTTTCTGCCACTGACAGTAGATAGCAGGTCAGACCACCCTCTGACTTATAAAATAGGAAATATATTAGGTAGGACTGAGTTTGACCAGAAGAAATAGTCCAGCTACAGCTGCCTCTAAGAACACTCTTGTTTGGAATATTGCAAGTTGTTATGTATGAATTTGCCTTTGGAAATGGCCTAGCATGCTACAATATCCAGATGAAACAAATCAATATGGTCATATTATATTAGGCCATTATGTAACTTTCAGTTCAATTCCAAGACTCAGCCGAAGATGCTGGTGTTACACACGTACCCATCACTGCTTAGTTTCATAGTAAGTAATATAAACCAGGTTTCCATCTTTGGAGAGAGAGTTCCATTACTATGATGCCAACATTAAAAGGCCTGATGCCAGGTTAACCTAAAGCCAAGGCCTCAACTATCTTCAGAAGCTCTTCTCTATAAAATGAGATGAAGCAGATGGATGAAAAGGAGAATTAATTTTCAGGGTCCCTGGTTGGGGATGTCTCTCTACAAAGAAGGAAATCCTAAGTAGGCAGAAATTATATCCAAATTTCATGTCCATTCTGTACTTATCCTTCATACTACAGACACCCCCCCCCTCGCCCTGTTATTCCAGTTTAAAGGATATACTTGCAAGAGTGAATAAGCTAAATAATACCAAGTATTTGTTATTACTGTCTGGTGCTACTTCTAGGAAATTAAAAATTCCAGAAAAAAGCAGTTATTTTAAGGCTCTCAGAAAATACAAATCTCTATCCAATTAAAGTTCTTGCTGCTTCCTGTTGCATGTGAATAGGTTATCAAGAGGTAATATGTATGCTGACAAGCGAATGATGTTCCTTTCCCTAGTTTGCTGAAGAATGGTAGACAATTGATTGACTTCTTGCTAAATCTAATCAATGCTCCATTCCCATCAGATTGGTTAACTCTTCCACTAAAGCTGAATACTTTATTATGATCAACAGGCAGGAGTTTTAAAAATAACCAGGTAATAGCCTAGTTAAGAGAAAGTATTAACAGCTTATTAGCATCAGATTTTTTTTTTATTAGGTTGCTGAAAATACATTTTCTTTTCACAGTAGGAGTTACTGGATTTAAGGCAGTAACTTATCTAAAGTTAGGAGAATAATCGAATTCATTGCTTAGAAGATAACATAATTTGGTTGTATTGAAAATGGCTTCTTTTAAGTACAGAACAGGCTCCAACTTCTCAAATTGCAGAAATAAATGTCCTGATTCATGAATACAGTTCCCTTTTTGAAAGTGACAAGAACAATCCATTGTTTTGATACTGGAGGTAAATATGAGTAGGGAGGTATAGATTGGTCCAAATCTACCTGCTTCGTGTTCTGCTTTGCTGGATAGATTTCCACTCCGGCAGATTTATGTCTGGATTTTAAATAATTAATCTGGACAAGCATTTTATGGTTCTTTTAGGGGTAGAAGGCTTCTTTCTAAACTTAACTTTTGAAAATGTCCAATAAGGTGGCTTTTTCTTTCCTAACAAAAATTCCCCGTCCACTGCCTATTCCCTGTAGAAATTCTCTTTTGCCACATTTCGTGAACTGACCATGTGCTGCCCAGCTACTCCTAAAAAAGGTTGCCTTCCCACATATTTGATATAGGTCAAGAGTAACTATGGTGTAATCTGAATGTTTGAGAGACAGACTTCAAAGGTAGTGACTGAAATCAAGATAGAGTAAAAGGCTCTTTAATTTTCCTTTTAGGGCATTCAGGAAATGAGTCTTTGTGAGGACTTTTGACATCATGCACTGACCTTTTCAAGTCACCCCCCTTCCTTTGCTTTCTACAGAGAACTTTGAAGATGCCCAAAGGTCCCAAAGAGAAAACTTTGGCCAAACTCGTGCTACTTTTTACATGGAGATGAACAAAGGGCATCCAGATTATTAATCCAAAGAGAGAACGTCGCTCTATGCTGAAGCCCAAGAGAAACCTTCCCCCTAGGGCTGCCAAATGCACCTTTCCTTATTAGGTTGTACTATCTCCAGGTCAGGTATGGAGAATCTCTCTCTCTCCAGATGTTGAACTATAATTCCTATTTCCTCTACGAGGAGGCTATACCTCTACATCAACATCTGGAATGCCACAGGATCTCCCAGATATGCTGTCAATATAAAAAGGATCTGACATTCCAGCATCACTATATTTTAATATCAGAATATGAGAAGCAAAGAAGTAAATTGGCAATCTTGATTCTTGCAGTGAAATATTACTGAAAGCTACATGATTTCTCTTTGCACTGATGCACCTTTCTTTCATTCATCTCTCAGAGATGAAAAGTTCTTTAGGAAGGACTGTTTTGTTATGAGTCAATACCAACCTGTCAACTGCTGCCATAATTCAATTTTTCAACACATCCACCCTTGCCCACTTTGAAGATCCTCAGGGCAGTAATTGTATTGTGGCTGAAATATATCCTATCTATGACCACTAGAGGGCATTTCAAGACCAAGTTATGCAAATAGAAGCTTCAATATCACCAAGTAGTAAAAGGAAGAAAAGAAAGGTTTTCCCTAGCGTTTTGCATTTTCATTTGAATGAATATTTGAGCCAATTATCTTTAAACTTGTCACTTACAGTAGCAGTTTTTCCTCTTCTGTGAATCAGCTGAAAATATCACCTTTTCTTTCTTAAACTAGGCACATTATGACCTGGAAAATAGGCATACGTTAGCCATTTAAAATTATTTTTAAAATGTAAAAGATTGGTACAATTGCTAATATGCAATAATACGATTTCCCATTATAGTTTTGATTTTCCTATTGCACTTTCTTTTTCTTTTGCTGCATACCTAAAGTACTTTCAGATTATTTTCTTCTCCTAGTTTAGATTCCACCAACTAGTTCATCTCCTAGTTTAGATTCCATTTAGGGTGTAAATGAACATTGGCATCTTATTCTTTTGACTCTACTGCATCTTTAAAATAGATGTTTAACATCCCAGTTCAAAAAGTTGATATGAACAGCAAACACAAACATTACTAATCTTGCTACGATATCAGATGTCATGTAATTGTAAAGTTTTCACTATCCTAATTACAAATTTATTTCATATGTCTCATAATTAAGTTTTGTCAACCATTTCAGATGTTTATATTTCCATCTTCTCAGCATCACAATATTGCGGAAATCTAATTCAAACACAAAAGGATATATTACTTAATGCCCTATAGCTAAAATATTTGATTTTATAACGTTTTGTACAAATTTTCATTTGATGCCCTGTGTTAATTGATTGCCATATTGCTGTTTGCCCCTTTGGCTTCTAAAGCTCTCCAAGATATAAACTTGATGTTAGGTTGTACACAAAATTGCACCAAGATTCGTAAGTGTTATGATTTCAAAGGCAATGTAAAGGATTTAGAGACATCTGCCCCTCTTTCTGTTAAG